CCTGGGGGCTCAGGCAATCCTCTTGCCTCAGCCTCCCAAAGTGCTGGGATTACAGGCTTGAGCCACCGCGCCCAGTCAACTGCAATTTTTCAAAAACAAAAGCAAAAACCAGTGTCTCAGTAGTCTATTTCTTTCCTCTTAACAGAAATTAATAATTCAGATTTAGTCATCTTACTCAATAGCGTAAAATTCTTCAAGGATTTCCCACTGCCTAAAGTTCATTGTATTCTTTTTTTTCTTTTTTTGAGTCAAGGTCTCACTCTGTCACCCCAACTGCAGTGCAGTGGCAAAATCAGAGCTCACTGTAGCCTCTACATCCTGGGCTCAGGGTGATTTTTCGGCCTCAGCCTTCTCAAGTAGCTGGGACTATAAGCACGTGCGACCACGTCCATCTAATTTTTAAATTTTTTGTAGAGTGAGATCTTGCTACGTTGCCTAGGCTGGTCTCAAACTTCTGGGCTCAAGCAATCCTCTCTTCCTGGCCTCCTAAAGTGCTGGGATTACCGGCGTGAGCCACCATGCCTGGTCTAATTGTTTCTTTTTTTTCTTTTTTTTGAGTTGGAGTCTCACTCTGTCACCCAGACTGGAATGCAGTGGCCGCTCCCGGCCACCGCAGCCTCGACCTGCTGGGCTCCGGCGATCCTTCCACCTCAGCCTTCCAAGTAGCTGGAACTACAGGCGCGTACTACCACACCCGGCTAAATTTTTTTATTTTTGTAGAGATGAGGTCTCACCAAGTTGCCCAGCCGGGTCTTGAACCCGCGAGCTCAGGCAATCCACTCACCTCAGGAAATCTCTCTTAATTAGGTTAACCTTTAACTAGTAAAAACATCTTCACTTTAGGAATTTGTGACTTCCACAGATGAGAAAGTTTCCTTTGGTAGTCAATACTCTGTACCCACAGTCTTTATGAAGAATGGCAACCAGGAGCACCATAGATATTCAAAGTTCTATTTACAAGCACCTCAAATATGGAAATTTCAAATCTTAAAACTTAACAAAAGCCCACAATAACATATATTTATAACCTATTACTGCCTTTCCTGAGTCCTATGTCATTTGGGTCAAGACTCTATTACTACACTTCATTATACTGTTATTTGTTGCTTGGTTTCTCTCTCTTGACTAGTGAGCAACTCCAGGGAAGTGAGGATTCATCCACAATGACTGCTGACTCAAAAGTTACCAAATGAAACTACATTCTTTATCGCTCACTCAATGAATAAAAACTACTAAAAGGACTCTATTAAGCCAGGGTAAGACCAAGTAGTAGTATAACAGAAAAAGAACTAGCCATGATCACATACATAAAATTTATGACTTGTTACTTGTCATCCTTTGTTTCATTTCCTTATTGGTAAGATAAGGATGTCTGCCCTTACTTATTGTACTTTTAAAGACTCAAGGAGACCATTCATTCATTCATTCAGTTACAAAGCCAGTGTACATTCTACTTTAACATGTTAATTTTGCTTGTTTCATTGAAGCAAAATGAAGCACAATGAATATATTTTTCAAAGATCTGAGTGTGTATAATCCAGTATCTAGTCCTAAACTTGATTAATCAGGTTTTACACAAAGCCTCAAGAAATCCAAAAGTCCCAAGCAAAGGATGGTTTCAGCTCAAAAATCATAGGTTGCCGGGTTCGGTGGCTCAGTCTGTAATCCCGCGCCTTTGGGAGGCTGAGGTGAGTGGATTGCCTGAGCTCGCGGGTTCGAGACCCGCCTGGGCAG